AACTTTTTCGTGCAAGGCAGTCAACTGGTGAGAGATAAGACATCAGAAGGCAGGATCTCATATCTGATGTGATTGCAGACATTACCAGCACCGGCGAGAAGACGTGCATGGTGGGGTGAGAAGGAGGAAGTAGGAGGGAGGAGGGAGCGAGTCGGGAAAGGGAGCGCAGAGGCAGGGAGATTATTCCTCTTCCCCTTCATATCCTATTCCTCTCTTCCCCCTCCTCCTCCTCCTGCGTATTAACGCGGTGCGTTGTATGCAAACTGGAAGTGATTACCTCCCTTCCTTGGCATCAGTAATGGACAACCGCATGACCACCAACAATGTCGAACAGACACTTGGGAAGTAAGAGAGTGGCATAAATAGAGGTGGCCAGGACTTGACTGATTGTTTCTAGGGCCGAGGCATTTTATAGGCGCGGATTTCGGTGCAATCTTGCTAGGTTGGTCTGATATTAATTAAGATCCGAATCGGAGACTTTTGTCTTCCTTACACAATAAAACATTCAAATCTACTTACCTGTTATTGACCTCTCTTGATACTCAAAGTGCCGCCAAGTGATCTCAAACGTAGTAGATGTAATAGCGCCTTTCTACGTCTTTTAGATATCTTCCTTTTATCCTGATAAGTGTGAGACTTTAACCATCCACAATCTGCATTTCTTGACTGTCGTTCTGCCATCATTTAATGTCTGACGTAGCATATAGGTTGCTTCTACTTTTCGGAAATTCCACCATTGAAAATTGGGAAGACTACTTAAATAAGTATTTTCAAGTGGGCGAAGTAGAAATTCTACCTCTGCAAGATGAAGTCAAACTAAACTTGGTTCAAATTAAAAGTAGGTTGGAAACTTATTGAATGTCAAAGCTAGCATATCATCATTTGAAATAATCAATATTGTTGAAACCTAAGCCCTTAATAAGCGGGTATTTGAGGACTTGAGGCCTTTGGTAAACATTATTTTATCTTCTCTAACCATTTCCACACTTCAGCTCCTTGCAAAATTCAAATGGGATCTTCCAGACCTCAAACCTATCAATTCCTCTTCCTCTGCCTTACGGCACACGTCAAAGATATCACCACTTGCGGTTCCATGCAATGGGGAGGTGGATGACCTCCACGAGATCTCTACTTCTAGTACTCCGATTGCGCAAAATGCCTCTGCTACCTTCCTTGGCGATTCTTGGACGCCGACGTCTTCGGTGGTTAGTCTCAATCCACCGCTAAGAACTAATGCCCCAGCGCCACCGACCTATGTGCAGAGGACACCTTCACCGATTAGTCTCGATCTTGTCTTTGGTAAGTACATGCACAAATCCCCTTATGTAGGGGGAATACTTACTAGTTGGGCAGTTGATAGATAAGAGAAGAGGTGCTGTCACGAAGGCTCCAGTAAAGCAAACTTTTTCCCATGTCTACCAAAGAAGACACGATCTCTTGATCAAAGTGTATCCGCCCAACGTCAATAAGTAAGTCGGTAATTGCAACATTCTTTAAAGTAACAAAGTAACAAGACCTCAAGAACCGGCACAGGATGAGGCAACAACGAACTGATTAATCAACACATAGATCCAATTTTTTAGTTGACTATGCCTATTCCCCTCCAAAAATTACCCGCCCAAATTTGAAGTTTAGTACAGTCCCTTTTTCGAAAAGAAACTATGAGAAACTTTGCCGTCTTACTTGATTCCGCCGTAAACGCAGCTATTCAACAATTCTCTAAGATAGACCATCTTGAAGGAATTTAAGAAAACAAATTTACAGTAAATTTAGCATTTTCGTATGATTTCTTGACATAACCGCTTAAATAATTTCGGTTTATTTTGGAAATTTGGAGATTCTGTCGGAAACATCAAAATCAT